TCCTGCCTTCAAATTTCTCCTACCCTACCCAGCGTCTGCACTCATCTCTTCTTCCTAAGTGTCCCAGCCTGGACCCTTCCCCACCCCAAGGATAGAGGTAGTTGGTGAGCGCTGGTAAAGCAGCCATCCCCACCACAGGGCAGATGCACGAGATAAAACCAAGAGGCTTACCGGAGCTCTCTCTTTCCAGGGCATCAGCTGAGGCCACAGGGACTTGGGCCAGGGCTGCCAGCAGGGACAGGAACAGTGGGACCATGATGCAGGCCTACGAGGGACTTGAGGAGGAAGGGAAGAGTTAGACCCTAAGATAACTTCCTCTGGTCCCCACCATATCCACCTGGGTTCTCATACATCCTGACCTCATAAGCCCATTGTCCTCACCTCACCATTACTCTCTTTGACTCTCTGATCCCTTCCTTCCAGCCAAGGAATTCCTCCTCAGAGCTAAGGAAGATCTGGTCCTTAGTCATTTTACTATGTGATCTTAGGCTCATTCTTTTCTTTGTTTCCTTACCATCACTTCACAGGTTATGACAACGATGATGCTTTGAGTGGAGGTGTGGTTTTTTTCCATTATCAGTTATGCAGTAGGAGTTCAAGAAATGGTGGTGTTAGTATTCTAGGACTCCTGTTGCTTCCTCCTGTACCAGTCCTTCCTTGAACCCAGAGCTTCCTTCTCCCATAGTACCCCCTCCGCAACCATCCCTTCCTATCTTTTCCTCCCAGGGCATCATACTTACCTGGCCTCTTTCAAGATGGCCACCTAGATTGAATCCAAGCAATACACAACGTCTTCTTTACCCAACTCCTCCTCTTTCCCTCCTTCATTACTTTTAAGGATACTCCTCTGTATTTCCCAGCATCCTCCACTCCCCCTTCCCTGGCTGTCTCCTCATTTTCTCCTCCAAGTCTTTCCTTTCTGCCTGGCACGGGCTTTCCCACCGGATCTCCTGGCTCAGAAGCTAGCTGGGACAAAGCCCCTGTCTCTGCCAGCCTGGCCCCCATCCAGCCTTTTCCTTCCCCCACCCTACCTTTTGTGAAAGCTCTGAGCTGGAAGGGTGGGCTAACAGTACTGAGAATAAATAGGGGGATCCTTCCAGCCCTGACTATCACGAGACCTAAAAAATATCCTCTAAAGGCCTCAAAGGACTTACACAGACTCTCATAATGGGAGAGTGGGGATGTGACATTGAGAAATGGACACTGAGGCCCAGAGTGGGATAGGGTTGGGCCTAAATTCCTAGCAAAGCAAGTTAGGTATCAGGCCATGTGCCTTTAGGAGAGAAGGCTGCAGTCAGTGTCCAAGGTCACCTTTAAGGGTCAGCTAGACATAGAATGGCATGGGGACCCATGTACACCATGGAACAGGCCAATGATGCAGTAAGAGGGATGAAGGTTAGACTGTAGGCAAGACTTTCAAGCATATTCCACTGGCTGCTTGCTCCAACGCCAGGCCCACTGTCTAACAAAGATCTCCTTTGCCCTTTCAGGTTCTGCCTGTACATGTATTCCCTGGAGTGACGGGGAAATTTCCCTCCTCTCAGGGCTCTCTTGCCTCTCCACCATTGTAATTTCCATTTCCCCACTGCTGGGTGTCACTTCTTTGGGGTCAGAGCTAGGGAAAGGGTGATAGGAGCCAGATGCTCTGGGCCTCTCACTGACCTATGAGAGGGAGGAACTTTTTGGAGGGGACCAGAGGGTGCTGAGACCAGTGCTAGGGCTGTGTTCTGGAGGGGCACTGTTTGACATGAGTAGCTAGTGCCTGCTGAGTGCTTAGACCATAGGTCATGCATTTGAGCTGTGCCAGGGCCTGGGCCTACCCTCTCCCTGGCTCCCTCCCTCCCCTTTTGAGATGGAGCTGGAACTACTTTGCAGACCTGGCCCCCAGTTCCCAATAAGCAGCCCAGAAACTCATACAGCTGGAGCCACTCTGGGCCCAACATCCTGGTCTAACCGCTCCACCCTGATTCTGAAGGTGGGGAAATGGAGGAGGATGTGAGATCAATGAGCAAGGGCTGCCTTGCAACATGGAGAGCACCCCAGTCCCCACTCCATGAAGCTACTGACCAGAGGAGTGGCTGTGATTATGCAGGTTCTCAGAGAGTTCAACTGGGGTCTCAGCTGCTTCCTCATCCAGCCAGAAGGGTTGAGAAAACTCAGGCACCCCTCACCCAGTTCTAGACTCACAGTCCTGAGTTTCTTCCTTTCCCTCCACACATTACCCACTTCCATGATCTTCCTCCAGAAAAGGAAACTCCAGTGCATCTCTGACTTTAAAATTTCAGTAGTCCCTTCCCCAACCTCTACTCCATCCACCCTCCTCACCCCTCTCATTGCTACATTTCCCTTTTTGCCTTTGTTCTAACTTTCCTGGAGCTTCTCAGAAAACTTCATCTCATTACAGCACCATTCCTGTCTGACCTCTCTCACAGGGCTTCACAGATCCACTTCACAGCCCATGCTGTGTGTAGCCTACGCATGTATGTGTGCATATGCATGGGTGCACAGATGCATATCAATACCTAACGCCCACCACTTCCATACTGAATGCCCGCCAGCTGGTAGTCCTATGCAAGCCCCCCAGGAACTGAGTTCCAGCGCCCAACAGTGGCAGCAGTAGGTCAGAGCTTTGGCCACAGCGGGATAGGTCTCAGCTATCCCCTTAGTGGCAGTATGAAGAGCGACATGAACAAACACAGTATCAGCAAGGCTTTAGCAAGGCTGACAGGGGGAAATGCAGTAACATAGAAATCTCCCTCTTAATTAGAATCACTGTTAATAATAACGCTATTAGCAACACCACCAACTGAGCTATTGCAGTTCCTCTCTGCATAGAATCTAAAATGTGGACAGCGCTGTTATCAGTGGCAAAGTTAGCCCTGACAGCACAGGCTCTGGGAACATAGTGGGTGGGGCTGACGGTGTTTCTGGAGCTGTCTGATATTATCTGGAATCTAAGGACTGCAGGTGATAGTGGCGCTAACAAAAATCGATGGCACAGCTCTTGGTTCTGTCAGCATCATGTGAGCGCTATTCTGCTGGGAAAGGACTAGGAGAAATTCTTGGAGGAAGGAGCCTTCTAATTCGCTGGGAGTGGTAGAAATGGGAAGCAGAAGTCACAACTAAGAACTCCAGTTAACAGTTACTGGTCATCTACATGAAGACAGGCCTCCTACCGGCTTCCTATGGATAAACTCTCCTTTAAGGAAAATATTAGGCTTGTGATTGCGTCTTTACACTAATGAAGAACCTAAGGTTCAGAGCAGTCTATGAACTCGCCCAAGGTTACACAGCAATTGTGTCAGAGGGGATTCCGGATTCAGAGTCCGCGCCACGACCACTCGCTACCGCGCCGCCTACCGGCTGTCCTGCGGGCTGGAGTGAGGTGTTCCCAGAAGGGCAGTTCACCCCTACTCCTCCTGCAGGGTTGCTGGTACTTAGAGCACGGAGTCGGAGTCGGGGGCTCCCCCGGGCGGCCTGCCACCTCCCAGCCCACAGGACAAGGTCAGACACTCAGCCAGCGGCCCAGGCAGTGGAGCGCGAGGTAGGGAGGACCCAAAGCGGAGCTCGCATCACCCGCAGATCACAGGGCGCTGCTGGTTAGACTGCAAGCAGTGATAAGGGTGCCAGCCGCAAAGCTGGGCGTTCGTAGATGGCAGATGGCAGCAGGAGCTGTAGACGCTCGGTGGTGGACCCCTCTCAACGAGTTGGGGTTCGGGGGCTTTGGAGGCAGAGGCTGTGGGACCAGGGTGGGTGGGCGGGTGGGCTCTTCCCTCTCGCTCCCCGAGTGGGCGGCGGGCTGCGGTCATACTTACCTGCCAGCAGGCGGCCGAGGGCCGGGGTGACGGTGCCGCACCGCGAAGTTAGCTGCGTCCTCCCAGTCCGAGGCTCGCTCCTGCGGCTGCACCGAGACTGCGGCGGGGACTGCGCGGGTTGAGGAGCGTCCAGGCCCGCAGGACGCTCAGAAGAGGGCGCAGGGCCGCCGGGCGACGCACAAAACCCCCTTTCTTCCCCCCGCCCCTGCTCCGCCTTTCCCCGGGCCACCCCCCGCCCCCTGACCAGGAACTCGGGGGGCTCCGGGCGGATCACGGGATCGTCTGCCTTCTTTGCCTCGGTTTCCGGCGGCAGCGGCGAGAGCAAGGACGAGTGAAGTAGGACATCGTTCTGGGGATGAGAAGCCGAGGACTTGGAGTAGGGAGGGCGGGCAGAAGGGGCGGGGAGGGAGCGCCAGTCGAGCGAAATGATGATATTGCAGCTAGAGGGATGAGAGTTAGACAGTCAGAGGGACTTCCCATTAGTCAAAAGAGGTAGAGGAGGGGTTCAGAGATTCAGAATGAAAGGAAAATGAGAGATTTTGTTCCCAGAAAGAGAGATGGCTTTTCCTCTTGGTGGTTTGGGTTGGGGGCTAGAAATGTGGGAAGAAAATTTTCTTTTTTAGAGCTGAAGATGAAGTTCAAACAAGGGTAGCCACCTCCTAGGCTTAAGCTTTGATCTGTTTTTGTCTCTCTGAGGCCCTCATTCGCTGCACAGAGGAGGAGCTGACTTTGCAGCGGGAGGGATGGAGGTTAGACAGCAGAATCATGGGTTAAGTAAAGCAAGCCAGGAATCTCTGGACACGGGGGCTGGTAGGAGTGGCACTGTGGATGGACATTACTGGACATGCAAACGAATATGCAAAACACAAGCGTTGCTGGGAGCTGAGAGGGCCACAGGCCAGGGTTGCTGCTGTTAACTGTTCAGCTTGGTACCAGGGGGCGGTCTCTGAGAGCTGCCCAGCCGCGGGAACTCATCACCCAGAATACCAATGACACCCACCCCACACCACCCCGACTCAGCCCAGAACCTCAGCTTCCCTCCACTTTCCCAGGCTCCCTTTCTTCCCCCCTCCTCCTCCTTTCCTTCTCCTTCCTGGAACTCCAGGCAAACCCCCTGGCACACAGGACAGCTAGGCGCCTGTATTTTCTGCCCTAGATGGCACCAGTGGCAGCAAGACCAGCTTGTGTGGGAATCTTGATCCCTATATTCTCCATCGAGCTCTGGGGGCCTAGTGGCCATTCTCCATCAGAATCCCCAAAACATCTCAAATAAAGTGGGTGCCTGCAATCCAAATGTAGGTCTCTCAGTCAATTTACAGGTCCTCCTAGCTAAACTACAGCCTAACTTTCTTCTGCGCTGGGATTCCCTCCTACTACCCCAAGATGCCCACCAACTTCCTAAGCCTTCGCTCTTGGTGCTGTGGTCTTTGTGGACTTTGAGAAG